TAAATTTATCTAATACTTTACTGAAAGCATGATTATGCCTGCATGTGCCTAGATGAACATTACTTGTTTAAAATCACATGTGTTTTTGGATACTTATCGCAAACAGCATCTAGTGACTGTAGTAAATTTTAAGCTTGATTGAACATAGCACCTCGGAGGAATCGAGGCGAAAATTAGGGCCATTTTTCGCCATTGTGATTCTAGTATCTTATAGAAGACAGCATCAATAAACTGTTAATGTATGACTATAGTTGTTCTATTAATCAATATCTATTTTCCCTGAGAATTTCAAATTTTGGAGGCACTATGAACTCCATTTCATACCCATTCCTACATCCTCTTTTGATTGGTAAAATGTCGATAACCTTCGGTCACAATAAAATCTTTTGGACTGATGTAAAATCGTTCAAAGAAGTCTTAGACTAGCCAGTCAGAAATGTGTGTCATAGGAGAAGTTGACAATCTTGGTAAGAGTGGTTTCGTTTCCGGTGAAACCATGCCAGCCTTAGAGTGCATGACACACATCCACAGTTGTGTCAATAAAATATCAATGGTTAGCAAAAAATTATATAGTAGATTGAACGATAAGTCATGTACATGAAATACTAAAATGAAACAAAACAGCAATTGTATGGAGGAACAAACAAGAAAAAGTTGATGTGTGGTTTATTTTGACCAGAAAAGTAGAAAGAGTAACTTTTTGTGAACATTTTCATTAAAAATTAGTTCAAAAACGTCTATAACTAGAGAATACATTTCAATTTCAATAATTATTAATGTCCAAAAATTCAATCGCGAGTTGGAAAAGATTCTGTTTAAACAGCTCAACCGTATTTGCTGCTCGTACAGCAAACGTGTATAATAGCTGACTTAAGCTGAATGTGTAGCGAATGAAACATGGTAACTAATCAACGTTAACCATGTATTTCGTTCATTTCAAAAAGTGAAGAACGGAATTAGAATGAGTCAAGTGCGTCATGTCTGTGTTATTCTGGTTGTTGCAACTTTTTCGTTCGCATCCCATTGGTGTTTGGCTAATGAAACGATCGAATTTAATCGAGACTTTACATCATTTTGAGTACATTTGCCGACTCAAACCTTTGCTGAAGTTAAATCAAAATGGCCGGTGATCAGTTTGAATCTGATTATGATTATATGGATTTCTCCATGATTGATAAAGAGTTTTTTTTGTTGAATTTGCATGAATCCATTGACCGATCATGTCGTTACAATAACGTGTGATCATATATTTTGTTCGGAATGCACCAACCAGAGTGTGGATGTGGGTGTAGGCTAGGAAAGCATGCACAAAAGAGAACCATACCCACACCATATTAAGTTTCTGATATTAAAATTCTTTGTTGAATGTGTTATCAGATGTGCAACTTTATCAAATATATAAATTTCACCAAGATGTCATCTTGTAAAACACATAAACATTTTCCGATCGAGTTTTCTCAAGTCACGTTCAGACCGAAGATAAACATTTTATCCGTGGCTAGATCCTTGAAGGAGTCAATACGAATCCTGAACGGATTCGTTCTTGTTTAGGATGAAATACCTAAATCTGGAAAAACGGTCTAGTCACGGAATTTTAAGCATTAGACACGGTTTGAAACATGATTTAGTCCATATACGGAACGATTTACCGCTATTGTTGAACTAGGAATCATCCAAGAAACTTCTTAATGATGAAAAAAGTATGTTTTCATGCAATTTTAGGGTGAAGTTTTTCCATGAGACTGAGTGGAGGACGTGGCTGAGATATGTGTCGCGATCCTCGCCATGCGTTCTCTGCCATGGTGTCCTTTCACATTCGTTCTCTCTCTCTGTTTCTCTGTATCATATTTGTATTTCGCTTCATTTGAAATTGGGATTAGTTGCTGTTGGATGGGAAGCAACTGAAGCGTGCGTAGCAAAAGAGTAAAACCAATGAAAATATGTTAATTTTGAAGTCTATAGTGTGGAGGAGGGGGTTATACTAAGCAGTACTCCATGCCATCTCTAGAGATAAAAAGCTAAGATATATTTCCGATTAAAAATCATTTCATTGAAGATTTTTCTTTTAGAGCATGAATATTGAAATTCACTTGGAAAATTATTTTAATAGCGATTTCGAAATGCTTATATGATATTCATCTGAATCGAAATCAACGAAAATACATCGAACTCTAGTGCAATATATCTGTGTATCATGAACTAATCTCGTAGAAAATAATGATAGAAAGTGAAGAAAACTAGTCAGGGGAAATGCTATAGTTTCGAAAAAAATTGACATGGATGCAAAATCCACAGAAGTTTTCCTAAAAGTACATCAGTAAAATCCGATCTGAAACTCCGTTTAAATACGCATATAACAGAAAAGTATTCAAAAAATATCCGAAACATTCGCCGTCTGAATTAATTTTTTTTAATTCTTTGGGGGAATTTGAAACGCTTTGATACAATAGATTCTCAGTCTAGTAACAGAAAATCTATATGGGTTTTGCAAATGTGTCAATCCTGTTTTCAATTCATTATTCAATTTTTTTCGAAACTACTGTATTTCCTAATTGTTTTTCTTCACCTTTCATCATTATTTTCTACAAGACTACTTAGATGCACATAGATATTTTGCTGCAACATTTTATTCTGCGACGAAAAGTTCGATCATCTTTATTAGTGGCGTCTGTCATGAGATACGATATATCATAACTCGTGGATCAGAATCTAATTTTCACCTATTTTTTTCAGTCGAAGCTTGTTCACATATCTAACATATTTCCTTTCTTTGGTCAGCTACGAACGACATCAAAATCGACAACATTCTAACAAATTCTTGCCAATGTTGGTCACTTGTGTCAGCAGTAATAGTCAACCTTCGTCCAGTATTAGTCTTCTAGGGATAACCCTGACAAAAATCTAAGTCATGGAGTAACATTGAATGTTCCTGAGCCTCTAACGTATGATGTAAGAAGTTTTGTATCGAATCTATTGATGATGCTGGTCCATTTCTATCTGAATCATAAAAAGTATTCCAAATTCAAATATAATACCATGTCTGTGAATTCCATCGTACTACATGTCGTAAATTAGTCGATAGTCGATAAGCATTTATCAGTCGTCTCTTCTGTTATCTTGGTCCCATTCACAAGAATTTGTCGATAACATTGATGGATTCATCACATGTAAAACCGTAGAAATTTATGAAAAATAATCTGTTTTTTTACGTGTTTTCAAAATTGATCTTCACAATACTATATATTTCAACTAATTATAGACCCATATCACTGCCAGATTTATTGATAATAATGATGGAAATTCATGGGCAATAATTTGAAATAAATTCTATTTCCATTTATATTCGTAATCTCACAGCCAAAAAACAAGTCGATCACGACTTTAGTCACCATCCATCGATATTGCTGGTCAATTCTAATGCTTGTACAGAATTGAGCAAATCGAGTTATAGCAAGATCACAATTAAATGATGAAAAAAAACATTTTTTCCTATATTTTTGAATTGCTACCACATTACAAGTTCTCTGATCATGCCTCAACTTTCATCGTGCTACTGATCGAGATATAGTCAACTCTCACACGCCTACCAAAGAGCTAGGTAAATTAACATGGTAAATCGCTCTTTGTTATCTAACACGTGAAAAGAATCCAGATAAGAATGTTCTATGCATATTCAAATAAGAAAGAAAGAAAAAAAACAAAATCTCATGGCCACTTATGCTTTGTCTTCATAAAAATAATTTTATTTAGAATTACGAGAAAGAATGAAGTACTCTTTTATTTTCATTTTGGCGCCAATATTAGTGATGTATATCCGCAAGGACAAGATACAACGTTCTCACACTGCTGGACAACGTATTATTCAAGTGAATTCATTTCACAAAGGAGATGTGATCGAATTCGTATTAAGATCAAACGAAACGGGTCATACTCATTCGACGATCAAACAGACAATCATGCATGATGGCCCATGTGGTAACTCACCGACAAGTGCAAATCCACTTAAGCGGCCCTGTACTCCACCAGTCCATTACCACCTTAAACAAGATGAAAGATTCGATGTTGAGAAAGGCATATTGGGATATATTTTAAATGAAATGAATGGTACAATAGAAACAGATGGATACTTATTTATACCGAAAGGATCATGTCATACATTTTGGAGTGCTGGTAATGACGATTTGATTGTGAACATAACACTCTATAACGATCAGGGAATGATACCTGGTAGAAGTGCTGATTCTTACTTCGAAAACATTAATGGAGTTAGGCGTGATAGCCCAAGTTTGATAGCAACACTTCAAGTTCAAATGGGTCATGACATTTACAGATGTGACATTCCTCAACTTTTCAACTTAATGTTCAGTAAAGTTTTTCAATTGATTGCTCTAGCTTTTGGTTATCAAATTCAATACGCTGAATATACCACACCAGTTGTTTAGAGATGTCATTTTTTTCTGCTTCTTATAGTTCAAGTATGTCTCGCTGATACCATTTGAATATCTATTGAACATTTTTGTTCAAGTAAATACGACAATGAGAAAGAAAGAAGTATAGAAATACTCGGCTAAATGATACTATTTCGAGACAATACACGCATGCCAGTCTTCGATAAGATTATCCAATAATCTTTATTTTATTCAAGGACACATTTACGGCTTAAGATACTCTTCGCTCATTATAAACAGCACAATATAGCTCTTCTATTATTGAAGTAATGAGTTATAATCGAGATTTTGAACTATCGTTGGTATCTTGGTTCATACTCGATGTACTTGCTTATCGGGATGTCGGATGCGAGGGTGGATGTGATGTATACGACAAGAAGACCGATCCGCACGCACACCCACACCCACACTCATACAATCAAATTAGCATTATTTAATGTATGCAATAAGACAGATGGAATTCATGATTACAAAAAACGTTCTTATGAGTTAGAAGTATATATTGTGAAAATGTTTATGTTAATTATTGTGTGTTTTGTATTCATATTTCAACTACTCGATGACATAGAGGTATTCACTTTTTTTGCATAAATTTGTTTTTTGAAAGATATTGTAAAGTCCCATATTTTGATTTGAACCAAGAGCAAATGTATAGCCAAAGCTTACATAAGCTCTTAGAGCAGCTACATGATTAACATTATTGTCATTGTAACACATCTTGTCAGTAAGTGTTGTAGCTGTGACTTCGTTGGACTTTTCGCTTTCAGCTGAACCTTTTATCGATGAGACTTGATATTGATAATCAGTTGCAGAATTCAAACCTGTATCAGTATATGACGTGGAGCTAACACTTGTTACCTTATCTCCATTACGATAAATATTATATGTTGTTACATCTGAAACTGAATTCCATTTCAAAGTAACTGAATTACTAGTTGTATCCGTAACTGTTAAAGCACTTGGTGTTCCTACAGCTGGCGGTTCGCCAGTTGTTTTAGCAGTAACTGAATTTGAAGCACCACTTTCACCACCTGATGATGAAACAGCTTTAACAGTGAATGTATATGTTGTACCAGAATTTAAATTATTATCTGTAAATGTCGTGCCACTTATTATTCCACCATTAGCTTTACCACCATTTCTGTAAACATTATAACCACTTGCACTTGGAATTTGTTTCCATGAAAGAGAAACTGAATTATCTGTAGTAGCAATAATTTGAAGTCCTGTTGGTGCATCAATTGGATTGAAACCACTCGTTATACGATCAATCATCTTTTTCATTGCAGCCGATTGCTTGCCACTTTTAACACTAAAATCCGTTCCATACCATCCAATCCAGTCCCAACATCCATTCGAATTTGGAAGTGATGCTCCACCTCCCATGCTTACTGTACTTGTGGCTACTGCTTGTGGATATAAAACTATGATATTATTGGTATCAGCCCAACGATTGTATCCTGAATTTTTCACGAATTTATCACCGATTTTTTCGTAGCCTTGTACACAGCCATGGTAGGCAATATGTAATTTACAAGTAGCTCCATCAGTACAACTTTTAGGTACATAGACCCATGCTGTTGTGCTCATTCCATTACTTCTCGCATCAGCTAAAAATTCTCCTTGATCAAATTCAATAAATTTTCCACTTAATGCTCCATTATTTCTAGGGTTCAATGATCCATAAATATGTTCGAGTATAGCTCCTGCTCCATCAAAGCCACAATTACTTATATAAGGACTACTTGTAGATCCACAAGCATTATTACCAGTACTATCAAAATCAGTTGGAAATGTATGTGCCGAGTTTAAATCTTTTTTAAATACAACATTTGCGCTTGGAATAAATTGGCCTTCAGTTACATAATATTTATATAATTGAGTCATTACTGAAGCGCCAACAGTACTATCAGAAGTTCCAGAAATCATATAAACTTTTTGTTTTGCCAGATTTTTTATGTCATCAATTTTGTTTCCACTCCACGATTTTGTATTTGAAATAGATTGAGTAATTGCTGGACTACTCGTGTACATACAACTTGTGTAACTCATTTGTCCTCCACAGTTATAAGGACCACCTGCTACAATCCCAGCACCTTTTATTGAGGCGGAAAATGCGACTTGTATTTGTGTAGCAAAGTATGCACCAGATGATATACCCGAAACTGATGTTTCACTTGGATCTACGTTATAATGTGATAATTTCTAGAGAGAACACAGTTATTATTAGACATAGAATGAATAATTTAGAATAAATGAATTTCTAACTGAGAAATTCTTTTCATTTTAACTCTTAAATTTACACATTCATCTATTTGATACTGATCAAACATATTTAGATCAAATCAACCATGCTATCTTCTAGAAAAATATTTTCAGATCTAAGAGTTGAAATCGATGGCTTGAGACTTCGTAGATAAGTCCTTACCTCAGCTGCATAACAACCGCTAATCAATAAGAAGATCAATGATATTGCCATCATATTCTTTCCTGTTACCAACTTTGTGTTTACAAGTTCTGATTAGTTAAGTGAATTGTTTTATTGTACAAAGTAGCGAAAGTCTGCAATTAATAAGAAAATCTAAAACACATATTATTAGAATTTGATATAATTTAAATACAATCTATAGAATATATACCACAGCGGAAGATAGACGAAAACATGGAATAACGGCAACGGACATAGATGTTCAGATAGGATGAACGGAATATTTATTCAGCACGTTACAGTATAATTATCGTGTTACTATGATAGAAGCGAACATTAGATGGTATAGATAGGGCAAGACTCGCAGCTCTACGCTTACACTGCCCCAACAACCACACCACTAATTTCAAACAACAGAATTTCTTTATCGACATTTTTATCGTCAACATTTCACTGTTGATGCTTTCACCTTCGGCATTTTTACTACTGACGCTATTCAAATGATTCATTAGCACACTCCAGCCCCTCCTTCATCGAGACAGATGAGTATAGATCTGCAATTTCACATATCGTACTGTATCAAATGTCTAATATGGATCTTCTCGAATTATATCATTCGATATATCTTAAGTTGCTCTCAAGATGCAGTGTCACTTACAATGTCGATCTGCTACAATAAAGCCATTAAACTCTTGGCTTTTTCTATACACCTTTCTGAAATCGATTATCATCAGTTAACTCTGGGATAATTCGAAATTTGATTCTAAATGAATCTCTTTTGATCAAAAAGAAGAAAACAAGTGAATTTGTCCCATTTGGGAGACATCCGTACTTACAATGACGATTAAAACTATTGTAATCGTTTAGAAAGGGCTACAGTGTTGCAAAAAGCGGCCTTTTACATCTATCAAGTATGCTGTTTTTTAGGTTTAATTCAAGTGTATAAATACTGTTTATTGTTTTCTCATAAATAATTATCAAATAAAATATACGACTTTTATCAAACACTGCATCAAACGACTATTATGTGTCAAAAAATGATCATAAATCTTTACAAAACAGAATCTAAGATTTTTATCGACAATTTAAAGCACGATAATATACAATAGACAGAAATACTTTATGCTCTATTCAGAAGTAAAGAAGATACACGTTTTGATTCGCACAAATAATGTATCACCGGATAATGTAAAAAACGTAATGCAACATCTTTAATAATTTTAAAACGTGACTGGCACTATGATAAAAAAAAGTCAAAAGTATCATCTGATACGTTTGATTGTGAACTTTGCTTGGGGTGTGGACGAGGATTTCTTATTTACCGGCACCCACACATATATTGCCGCTCATTTCAATCGCAGTCAAATGAGAAGAAGATAGACTGAAAATGCTATATACGATAGAATTTTCATTTCACGAGTGTTCTCAAGCTGTAGACCCCCATCAACAGAAGCAATCAGAAAACGATCTCATGTGCACGTAGCAGTGCCATCAAAATAAATTGCATGATATTTCAATATATGTGTAAGAACTCTTTCTTATCACCACTAATATTATTTTGCTCAAGAGATCTTCTACATGTTGAACTTGCTCTCATGCTTGACAGATTTGAATCAAGAAAAGACTCAATCCAGTCTGAAGACAAAAAATAATTGACTAATTAGCTTCATGTTGCATCTTATTTTAAAGCAAAATCTGAGCAAATAAATAATACTTTATTACTTTCTTTCGTTCGACCAGACACAGTGAATTTATTTTCTTTCACTTGAGAAAGAATCGCGCTTTTCAAATAATGAGAAGCACAATAAAACAGCAAGATATGAAACAGGTTGTGGGTATGAGTGATTATTGGCATGCTCTTCACACCAAAATCCTATTCCTTCCTCTTTGCTTTGCTGTTTACCAAAGAAGCATGTATTCAAATAGTGTTCCTATTGCCAATTTTTTGACATAGATGTCACCCATACTGGAGTGCTATGAAACTGAATTATGCATCGTCAACATCGAATACCAGTTGTTCGTACCATTAAGTGTCTCCTTGACGTACAGAAAAGTATGAGGCTGCATTTTATGCAGAAATCGAAGTGAGGCTATAATTAAAAGAGTTTATTCTCTTAACAGTGTTGATAAGGACATTGATCGTTGTCTCACTCTGTCTTGCTATCTTTCTTCTTTTTAAAAGAGCCTTTCGCTTCGCATAGGCCTGTTTTCCATGCTTATTGAAAAATAGACAAAAATCTATTTGATATTCATTTTAAATCACGTACTTCTTCACAAGCAATGAGGATTGGTATCATGAATAATTCTTATGCCTTTCATGTTTTAACTTTTATTGATCAGTTCTGATAAAGAGTCACAATTGGTCAAGTCTACAAATGGAAATTTCAGCTAGGAATACAACTGCGACAGCGAAACTCTCATTCGATTCGTTCAAAATTATTCTTGTCAGTCTCAGTGTTGCCTTTGTGAGCGTCCTATGTCAGTCAACAAACGAAAGGTGCTGCGATCTATGTCGTTAGCTTCGGTATGTCAAATTTCAATAACATTCTCGGTGACAATTAGACCTTCTATTTTGTCAATGCTGGTGCAGATTTACTCGGTCTCACCACTTTACATGTATTCACTATTTCGATGCTATCAACGACGTGTGCGTTCGATTTGGGCGATTGTTTTACTTTTTGCGATAAATCTATTGTGCCCAGATGGTCTGTTTACTGTGCCTTGGAACATACTGACATCATTCATCATGCAGTCAGTCTGGTTGGTTGTGCCTATCTATTAGTGGCGCATTATGAAGGTGATATGTTCGTACGAATTTTGCTGGATATCTTGACCAATGTGATTTGTTATCTGCAAGAAAAGCTCTCGAAATAATGTCTATTCTTCACTTCATGAAACTTGAGCAATGATTGCCAATCAAAATTCGAAGTCAGAAAAGCTTGTCATTTATATTCAAAGCTTTTATTTATATTTCCTTCTGATTTTACTCAATATTAGTATTCTATCACAATGAATGCTGAAATAGTTTTTGCCCTAAAGGTAATAACTAGCTCTCCTAACGTTAAGCTTCTCGAGTAAGTTTCGTCACGACACGCTTCGATCTTTACTTCATGAAGTTTTATATCTAATGGTTTTCAAAAAATATCAGAATAATAAACAATCAATCGCATTCAATGAGTTCCTGCAATACTATTGATGAACAATCGCTGACGTTCAATAATTGTATTTCAAAAGACAGCGCTTATCCTGGAGTTTTACTCCAATCTGATTGGAGAGCCTTTACGCCACAAATCGGTAAGGAATGAAGAAGGATCAATTTGATGAAAAATCGGTCCTGTTAACAGAGTGATGTTACATATATCATGAACATTTTCAGCTGTTAGAAATTAGTCATTACAGGCTTATACATGATTTACACAAAACTAAACATGATGAGTTATCGATTTACAGATTAATATTTTATTGTCACGAAACTACAATATTTTAATTTTTTGTATGTTTAAAAGAATCACGAGATTCTCAACAATAAGAAACATATGAGGTACTCAGTCGATTGTGATGGGTAAGAAAATTGTTAAGAATAAATCAGAAATGCTATTGCATGTTAAGACGATTAAAGGAAAATGTGCAAGTAGGTTAGTTCACGTGTTTTAGTGAGGTAAAAGACGGTTTTCAAGGCTAATGAACGATAGGATCTCATAGAAATGTTTCTTTATCTCTTGTTTGATATCTTAGAGTGAAGAATCGAATAAAGCAATAATAGATATTTCTTACCAGATATTTAGTTTATTTCTTGAAGAACTGCTTTTCTAATCAATACAAGTACAAGCTAAATTCTTTTTTCTTTTCCTCTGAAAGCCAATATTTAAATGAAGAGAACGTTGAAGATCAATCTTTGATATTTTTCTCTTGAGGCTTTTTTGTATCTACTTCTTTCAATGTCACCATTGCAGATTTTTCCGTTAATAAATTAAACATTACTTTATCGAACAAAAAGTCAAAAAAACTGTCTGGCAATTGGTCTACATTTTCATAAGCTCCTACCAACAAATAACAATGAAGTATATTGCCTTATTGTACTTTATTGCATTTTATTCTTAGAAAACTTATTGTATAGTAATATCGTGATAACGATATGACGAAAGACACTAGATCATGTTTATTGAAGATTCTGGTTCGATTACAACTTTATTCCGAGGACAGAACTGGCTCGGTTAAAAGACTTCCATATTTCTTATTTTTGACCGAAAGAGTAGTTCTACACGTTTTAAAGTCACTTTCACAGAAAGTAGGCTTAGCGTATCACTGTTAACGTTGATTATTTCGATATTCTATCAGAAGATAATTCATTTTTTAATCATCGGATATTTTTCAAGTAAAAAATGTTTTTCTTTCAAATAAAACGAGTTTAACAAGCAAATTCATTCTTTGCTATAAAAAGAGAAAATGAAGTAAAAAAAAACAATTTTAAAAAAAATAATGAAACATCAATAAAATTTCTATCATTAAAAAGAAAGAGACTAGTGTGAACAGATGAAAATTTCAAATAGTGTTGGCAAAAGGTAATTACATTTTTCTTCTTACTGACTAATATCTCAATAGCTCAGAGTGATAACAGCATTAAATTTTTTTAAAACTTGTGTTATCATTAGAGTGTGGATGTGGTCTCTTCTTTCATAACCATACCCACACTCAAGAAAATCATTCTTTCACTGCAGTTTTTTTATGTTTGTTCGGTGGCTTGATGAGAGAAATCAACATTTACTTTCATATTTTTACTTTTATTATTTAAACAAAATCTCAGATTGTTGTCTAAAACATTTTTTCATCCAATTTAAATTAAAGCTGATTATACACCTTTTTTTCCTGTAAGAATGAATATCGTTCAAAAAGCTCATTGTTCTACGAAGAAAGGTAATCTCAATTGGTTAAAACTCACTAATAGGCGATTAAAATAATTTTAAAAATCAGCCGTAATGCATACGCTTATACAATGAATACGACTTTTCAACTTGAGTACCCAATATGGTCTTTTTGCTCGTTCTTTACTA